CGCTTTACACAATTGATGTGTGTATGGATTGCGATAACAGTTGTATAAACCCCTAATAAAATGTTAAAAAATAAATAAATAGAATAGGGGTCCTAAGTAGCTCCTATCCCTAAATACCATAACACACTGCTATTGAGTTTAGTGACCCTATAGGACAGATGAACCTCATAGAGGAGAATTGAAACCATAACATTCCCCAGGCTTTAAATCATACTGAACTGCTTCATCTGTCTCTCACAGAGTGGCCGGGAGATTCAGATTGCTGACGTTTTGGTTAGCAGGTGTGATAGATATTATGGCAACTAGACACTCCCAGCTTGGGGTGGAGTTCAAGTTGTCAATGAAGTGGCAGCTTGATAATGCTTCCTTGGGGGTGTGGCCTTCATATAATAAGAGTGAGAGAAGCTGGGAACTTCCCTCTCTCTGCCCCTCTGCCTGCCTTAAAGGGTGGTCCTATGCTGGCTGATTGGCCCTGAGAGCTGCTAGCATTGCCATGTTCCCACCAACGTTGAATCCATACGACTCTGCACCCACCGGCCTGGCCAGTGATCTCCCTGTTTCCCAGTTCACCTTTCTGCTTTACTCACCTGCTGTTACCCGAATCTGAAGAGGGATTTATGGACTTAGCATCAGACCTGTGGACTTGATTTGGACTGGGTTGGGATGCCTTCTTGATATAAAAATACTTGTTGATAAAAGGCTCTTTCTTATACAATGATGAATGTCACTGGGTTTGTTTCTCTAGATAACTTGGCCTAACACAGCAGCCCAATCCTTAACCCACAGTACCACTAGAGCTAAGAAGACAGCACTCAGTTCTCCCTGTGTTAGGGTTCTCTAGAGAAACAAAACTAGGACACTTAGGATTTTATGTAGCTAGATAGATACAACACAAAGAAATAAACAGCTAATTTGTCCACAGAGCAGTACAGCGGGCTCAGTTCAACTCACTTCCATGAGATAGTTAATATATTGGCAGTCCTTCAACTCAAGAGGGGTGTTGGGTGCAAGTCAAGGAAGCAGACAGTTGAGTCTTCTGTAGAGCTACACAGGCAGTCCAGCCACAGGCAGCAAACAGCAGGGCAGGTCACCAACAGTCAGCCAGATGACAGGGTCTGACAGTCCCTAGCTCAAGTGATGTATACACTAGCAGTGTGGCAAAGCAAGTCTTGAAGGAACCTCAAACTATAGCTACACAGTCCATGGGTTGG